CTGGAGTCCCGGGATCGAGTCCCGCATCGGGCTCCCTGCTCAGCGGGGAGTCTGCTTCTCCCTCTGACCCTCCTCCCTCTCATGCTCTCTGTCTTTAAGAAAAAAAAGAAAATGCGAAGTGTAGCTTGAAAATGTACCTTGGTATTTGTAATGGGTTATGTAGGTACAACACATTCAAGGCCCAAGGTGTATTGCCTTTTTAATGGTTCATTTCACACTAAGGACAAAACATGAAATCCTTGGACAATTCAGTTTTCCAGAATAATATTTTTCTCAACTAGGCTGTTAAAAGGAGTTGAATAGCAGCTTATTTGAGGTGAGCAGGTTCTTTTCCTATACCTGAGAGCAGAGCTTCCCAGTCAGAGGGCTGCAGCTGCAGTTCACTGGTTTTCTGTAGAATAGGTTATAGTCAAACAGCAAGATACTGAATTATTAAAAATGGCAGGCTTTTGAAAACAATTATTAAGTAATATACAGTCTTTGAAATTGTATTTGAACATGATGTGTATGGTTCCAGCTGTCAGCTTCTTGAAATAAGAATTATTATTTTGGAATGCAAGACTTTTGATAAGTACTTATCACCAGAGAATGCTCTGTATGGCTTCATATATCACAGAGCTCCTCTTTCAGTGTTCTGTGGTGAGAAATAGGGTTAGGATGTGCTCACTTAAAAATTAAATGAGTAGATAATGAAGTTTTATTAAAGAAAAGTATAGAAAAAAAGTATAAAGAAGCTTAATCACACGGACAGATGAGTAAGCCATCCAGTATTCTTATGGTGAGCTTGTAAGTACTTGCAAGCAAAGCCAGAGTTGTTCTTTAAAAATCACTCTGGGACTACTATGCAATATAAATGAGTAAGGAATCGGTGAAGACCCCAAGGTTCCATCCTATAAAGCACAACCTTTATCTTAACCTAGAAAATTTCCAGGCAATTGATTCTAAAAAGGCAGTAGAACAAAGTGATTTAGGAAGTTGTCTCTAGATAGACTGCCAGAGTTCGACCTGGGTACTCCTGACAGGATACTTAACCTCAGGGTACCTCACTTTCTTCATTTATGAAATGGGAATAGTAAGAGTGTCTCCTTCTGTGGTGCTGTGAGGATAGAATAAGTTAATATGGGGAAAGCATTTAGGACAGTACCTGGCACATTTTAAATACTCGATATTAGCTTATCACTTATTAGTAGTATTAGTCCATTTGTTCATGGTTTAAAACCTTCAGTATTGCTCCCTTGAATATCTTTCTGATCTTAAGCAATGTAGCTTCCTAGTAAATCTGTGATGAATTGGTTACTAAATGAACTACTAAGTAAATAAATTGATTCACTCTGTGGTGTTGAGTATTAATTACTTTTTGAGGTTGTTTGTGAAATATAATTAATTCATTTTTAGTAATATTGGATGTTAAGGCATTTTGAGATGATTAGGTAATCATACCAGTTGTCTACTGAGGTTGCTCGTTACTCAGATTTAAACGTACCCTTTTGCCTGTGATGGTAGGTATGTTCCATATAATCCAACTCTATTTGTACCTACGCATTTTGTTTTTTACTTAAAAAAATTGAAGTATAATTACAGAGATGACAATTTACAGATACGAGTTTTATGTGTCTTGGCAAATGTCTGTGTTGTGTCACCAACACCCCAGTGAAGATAGAGCATTTCCATCATCCTATAAAATTTTCTTGTGCCAGTTTATAGTCAGGTTCCCTAGGGACAACCACTACACTGATGTCGGTACCCTTAGGTTGCTGTACATTGAGATTTTTATCTTTTGGAGCTTGTTCTTATTAACTCTGACTCTCAATTCAGATTAGGAAGAGTGAAGATTGCAGTGTGATTGAGTGTTCCTTATTCATATGACATTTTGTAAGAATTTCTTTGATATTAAAAAAAAAAGCTCAGGAGGCATTTATTTGCAGAAGGGAAGTACTTTATTGCATGTACTTTTACCCTGTGTCTTCCCTTAACCACCACCCCCAACATTTCATGAAAATCATATTTCTAATTTTCAAAGATGATACTTAGTTTTGGGTAGTTGTATATATTTTTAGATCTTTAATAGCAAATGTGGAAACATGATTTAATCTCTGAACCCAAACTGTTAAATGAAAATATTCTTTTTTGTGTGTCTCCATAAAATGTAACTACTTAAGTTTTGCCTCAGAGCTTCTTGTAAACTGGCATTATATATATGACATATTTATATCATTTATTTATATACATGTTGTGAGTGTGTGAATCAAGTTTTAGGGCATCTACCGTATCATAGCTGTGTTAAAATTACTTTATGCTTATTTTTAAAAGAAAATTTATCTATCAGAACTTATTTTGATTCTTATTAGCATGAAATAGAGTTACCTTACATTTTAATCAAAATTCTTTTTTAAAATGTGGTTCATGGTTAGAGTAAATGTCTTTCACCTTGGGTTTAATATCAGGCACTTTTCAAATTTTTAGAAAGGACCACTTTGTACTTTTATAAATACTATAATCTTTATTCTTTATTTTGTAATGGTTCATTAACCCCAAGTATTGATTACCATTTTTCTCCATTATTTAAAAATTTTTAATTACTTAGTTTTCATTGTATTGAAGGAGTTAAAATAAAAATACCTTATTTTTACTACAGAGGAATGTTACTTGTGCTTTCAAGTTTCTTGGCTTGCTTTGTGCAGAGTCTTGTAAATTGTGCTGCCTTAATAAAACATCTTAGTGAGATTTTTGTCCCTATTGCAAAGTATACCACATATATTTGGTATTTATCTTGATAACTTTTAGACCACTTTTAATACTTTATGTATCTATAAATCTTTTAGTAATTTTCTTTCACAGATTCTTTATTTACTACTGACTAGTGTCATTTATTGATATGGTAGTTAGTATTTTCTTGGGAACACCAAGGCCACACAACTGAAATTTATTCATTAATAAAATATATTCTGGGGAACTTTACATTTGAAACTGCCCAGTCTCCGTAGGCCTATGATTTATCCTTAGTGAACTTGCCTGCAACATTTTGTGGGCATTTTTACTCCCTCTGTTAATATCTTTACCATTTTTACTTTAGCTTTTTTTTTTTTTTTTTTTTTTATTTATTTGAGACAGAGAGAGTGAGAGAGAGAGAGAGAGCACATGAGAGGGGGGAGGGTCAGAGGGAGAAGCAGGCTCCCTGCCGAGCAGGGAGCCCGATGCGGGACTCGATCCAGGGACTCCAGGATCATGACCTGAGCCGAAGGCAGTCGCTTAACCAACTGAGCCACCCAGGCGCCCTTTACTTTAGCTTTGACTATATTTTGGCTAGAAGGAAGGGTCTTTAAACCCAACTCTTCACGTCCTTGCTTACTATTATAACAAAAGAATAGAAGCTTGCTTGCTTCTCATTCCATCCAACTCCTGAATATTTCTGCTTTGACTTCAGCTTTTTGTTCTCTTGTCTTAAGGGCAGAATGGAAGGTGGTAGCTGCTAGTTTCTCTGCCTTTATTTTCATTTGCAGCTTTCCTTCCTGCTTTTCCACCTAATTAAAAAAATTATATTCATTTGGAGGCACATTAAATTCTTTCTTCTTCTTTGAAACCTATTACTCACACCCTTCTGCCATAAAAGTCTTCCTAATACCATCTTTCCCTCATCATACAGCTCTTGACTCTGCTATATTCATTTGTTCATTTGTTTGCTTATTCAGCCACTGAGCATTTATTAAGTACTCACAGTGTGCTAGCCACTGTATTCTAGTGACTGGCTCTTGTCTTCCTTTAGCAGTTGAATTTCTGTTTCTTTACCTTACTTCTGCTTCTACTAACTCATTTCTGTTCCCATCATTCTGCTAAGTTTGCACTCACAAAGAATACTAGTTACCCCTAATGGCCAATCCAACTCTCTTTCCTCCTCCTCCTTGGTCTTCCTGCTTCACTTGATAACTACCCACTGCCTTCTTGAAGCTTTTTGTTTGTGAAAGAAGCTAAAGTTACTCACCATGTCTTCTATTTGGTTTATTTAGTCTTTTTTTTTTTTTTTTAATATTTCTTTTTCTGCTTTTTCCCCCTATTGGAGATTTTCTACAGTTTTGTCTTTAGCCCTGTTGTTCTTTAGTCTATCTCCATAGGAGAACTCACTCTCATGGATTCAGCTGTTATTTTTTGTGCAGGTGGTTTTTCCCTGACTGTCCAGTAGTGGCTTCTACAGTGAATTTCA